TCACGTGGGCGGGAATCGCCGCTGCGGTGGGTGGCGCCTGTCCTGTGTGTCTGCCTGAACCTGAGCCCCCGGTCCCCAGTACCCCCGGGGAGCGTGCACACGTCGACGTCTCGGAGGGTGCCGAGCCGCGTGGGTGGACTCAGATTCGGTGCCTTTGCTCTCGTGCCTTGTAACTTTTGGCCCTCTATCAACCCGTTGAAAGAGAATCCGATGGCTCTTACAAATTTTCAGCACATCTTTTAGCTTTTCCTAATGGAAATGGGCGGGAGCGGGAGCGGTGGCTCATCTGCGCGCGTTGCGCCTGGCTCCCGGGCGGAGCTCTCCGCCCCACCGTCAAGGCCTCTTCCTCCCTAGCCCCTTCTCCTCGCCGCCACCGGAGCAGACCACTGGAGGCCGGTGGCCGCGAGGAGGGCGGTAGCGGGGTGCTTTTCTCTCCGCACGCAGGGCTGTGGCGCCGCCGCCGCCGTCGAGTCTGAAGCCCGCTCCGCTGTCCTGGAGCGCGGATCCGGGACCTGCCGGCGTGGATCTCGCCCCCGCGCTGTCGTTGGCAAGGAGCACGCAGGCAGGGGTCGTTGCGCCACGGCCCGACCATCACCGCCGCCGCCACCGGATCCCACGTCCTCGTGCTTCAATCTGAAGAGCCAAGCCGCGTCGAGGACGATGATCACTGAGCAGACCAGCATCCTATGTAGGGACGCCTTCCAGGAGCACTGCAACATCATCGAGGAGGACCATCCTTGTGAGTTGCTTTACAGATTCAGAATAGAGCCCCTTCTTAAGTTTTCTGTCAGATTGTAACAGACCTAATGCTGCTATGAGGCTATGATGCTATTGACATGATTTTGATTGGTTGGAAGGATGCAAGTCTAGCTTAGTCTCTCTGCTATAACACCATTTATTGTCATGAAACTTCAGTACCAAAATCTGTAGTAGTCCAGTTACTCTGCATCTATGTGCTATTTATTGTTTACAGTAAATGTTTAGCTTGATAAAAATTGCAAATCTGCCATCATGTGCTAGTAATTGTTTGCTGTAAATTTTGTTCTTTGTGTCAGAATTTGACAAGGAAAATTGAGTTAGATATTGAAAGGCAATGGCAGAACTTGACAAGGGAACACCGGATGGTTTGAGGTTTCGAAATCTAAATGAGGCTTGGCAGTTTTGGGTGGCATATGGGGGTAGTACAGGCTTTGATGTGAGAAAAATATATAGAAATTTGAGCAAATTTGATGGCAAGGTGACTTCATGCAGATTTGTTTATGCCAACAAAGGCCATCGAAGGAAAGTGGAAAGAGAGCATGTGACAAAGTGTTTTAGAGCTAAAACAAGAACCGATTGCAAAGCACGAATGACAATTACATTGGACCGAGGGGAAGAAAATTATGAAGTCACTGATGTTGTCCTTGAACACAATCACTCCCTTCACTTGCCTAAAACTCGACACTTGATGGCATCACAAAGGAAAATTTCAGAACTACAGGCTTTTGAAATTGACCGCCAATGATTATGGAATTAGGCCAAAAGCTACCCATGAGTTGGCTATCCGTCATGTTGGAGGGCCATTTAACCTTAGTTACACTTGTCGTGATCGCAAAAATTATTTACAGAGCAAGAGGCAGAGGGAGTTAGCATTTGGACAGACTGGTAGTATGTTGAAATATTTTCATGACAAGATCTCTGAAAATCCATCATTCCAATATGCTTTGCAAGTGGATTGTGATGAGCATATAACCAACATATTTTGGGCTGATGCCAAAATGATCCTTGATTACGCGTATTTTGGTGATGTTGTGACATTTGACACTACTTTTGGCATAAATAAAGAATACTGATCATTTGGTGTCTTTCTTGGGCTCAATCATTTTAGAGAAACCACTATTTTTGGTGCTGGAATTCTCTTTGATGAAACTGAAGACTCATTTACACGGCTCTTTGAGACCTTTCTAGCAGCTCACAATGGCCAACAACCTAAAACTATTTATATGGATCAAGATGCAGCTATGGGAAAAGCAATAAAGAATGTATTCACTGAATCATATCATGGGCTGTGCATATTTCATATAATGCAAAATGCCATCAAGCATTTATCAGTGAACGTCCATTAGCAAGCCACCGAGTTTAATACATCATTGATTAACCAGGTGGACACCCATCATAGAAGTTTTGACGACAATACGCTATACAACGGCAGAGCCAGTGCACCATTCAGTTAACTGACATGGGCTCAATCAAAAGGTCAGGAACGCAGCCTAAGAGGTATCCAGAAAACTAGTTCGTCAACCACTACTTAGACCCTAACTTGAGCAAAAGACCAAGCCGATTTACCACCAGCAGGTACTCGGCATCAGTTCTTGAACATGATGGCAGCGACGAGGAACGCGATCACTCCAATGAGACAGTAGACGAGGTACATGAGCTTGCACTTGTCAACAGCTGCGAGAGAAGCCTTCTGGTGGTAAACCTGACAGATGCGCTCGGCAACACACCTGGTGCGGTTCACCTCCTCCTGCAGCTCCACCCTGGCATTGTTGGCCACATCGTTGCAGCGGATAGCATCGATCAGAGCTTCATTAGCTGTGGCTTCACAAGCCTGGTTTTGATCTCCTTCCAGAGTTCCTTCAGGCACTCCTGAACCCGTTCAGGCCAGGGTTCATCCTGCCATTCCACAAACTAGCATTGATCCGCCTCTTCCTGCGTGTCACAATTGTAGTTTCAGTAACTTGGTCAATAGGGACACCATCATGCAGTGACAGATACGATGAAAACTACACAATTGCAATGAAAAATGACAGAAAGATTGTAGGCAAACCTTCAGTGGGCACCCCAAGAAGCGTCTGCCTGTGTGCTGTCAGCTCGATCATCCCCGGCCACCATGGACGCCCCAAGAAGCATGAGGCGTGCCCAACCTAGCAGCCACACTGTCAACCGCACCTCGACCTTGCACGGCACAGCCCAGTGCCGCAGCTGCACGTCGCCCCGCGGCCTACGGCCGCAGCCACCGCGCCCGGGCTCTCAAGACGCCGCCTCCGCCAACCAACAAGCAGCAGGGGTGCCACCCAAAACCACCGCCAGATCCACGCACTAGGAGGCCGGATCCACGCACAGACCACAGATTGAAGCACGAGGACGTGGGATCCGGTGGCGGCGGCGGTGACGGCCGGGCAATGGCACAGCGACCCCTGCCTGCGTGTTCCTTGCCGACGACAGCGCGGGGGCGAGATCCACGCCGGCAGGTCCCGGATCCGCGCTCCAGGACAGCGGAGCGGGCTTCAGACTCGATGGCGGTGGCGACGGCGGCGCCACAGCCCTGCGTGCTCGCGGCCACCGGCCTCCCGTGGTCTGCTCCGGCGGCGGCGAGGAGAAGGGGGTGGGGAGGAAGAGGCCTCGGCGGTGGGGTAGAGAGCTCCGCCCGGGAGCCAGGTGCAACGCGCGCGCAGATGAGCCGCCGCTCCCGCCCATTTTCATTGGGAAAAGCTAAAAGATGTGCTGAAAATTTGTGAGAGCCATCAGATTCTCTTTCAACGGTGGATAGAGAGACGAAAGTAACGCTGTGCCTTGCTAGAGAAAAGGCACCGAATCTGTGAGTCCGCGGGGGTCGGCTTCTTCCTCCGCCTTCCTGTTCCTGTTCCTGTTCCTGTTCCTGGAACGTTGCTGAGCGCTGTTTGTTTGGATTTGGATGGAGGCGTCGCACGCAATCCACGTGTTGTTGCAGGCATATCGTTTTCGTTTGGTCACGCCGCAGCTGTTTTCATTCATTTTCTCCGTTGAGCAGAGCATGGACACCCAGGGAAAACGATAGTGTCTCAGATGAGCGCGCGACGAGAAGCTGTTGAGGTGCTTGTGGTGATTCTTGCCTTGTGTGTTTTAACTAATTTTTGCAAGCGATGAAACTACTGTCTAGTTTCCAGAGAGTCGATCTAGGGCCCGTTCGGCTGGCATTAAAGCCGTTTGATAAGTTAACTGAAGCTGATTTGTTTTGAGAAAAAAATATTGTAGAATAGCTGATAAGTTCAAGCTGCCCTTAACGATCTAGTTTCCAGAGACGTTAATTAATTCATACGAGTGTGGTGCGCGTGTACCTGTTCATAGTAGTGTGTACGTGAGTATTTTAGGCCTGTTCGGCTACCTTTCTTTTACAGTAACGTATAGTTGCAGCTGCTAGCTAGGTTTTCCTTTGTACAAAAACAGTAGATGAATGAGTGCCACGGGTTGATTGAACCAAGTTTTTTTACCTTCTAGAAAGTTAGTTTTGAGTTTTGACCCGATAAACATTTCTATACATTTTGGCCCAAGTTGTGCTGGTGAGCCCATACATTAACTGAAGCTGCTTCAGTTTTCTAGCCCAATAGTACACCACCACTTCGGGGCCCCCGATTTCACAAGTCCATCGGCCTGTCCAGTGACTAATGGCCAACCCTTGCTGCGATTCTTTTTATGAAAAAGTCCACTTTTCTCTCTCAATTTTTTGCGAAAATCCGATTTTTCTCTCTGCACTCAAAAACCAGACACAGGCCCTCTCTCGTCTATCAAATCCGTACACATGATCCCCATAGCTGGTATGCACGCTGGTTTTTACACAGCTGGCGGCCACGTTGGATTTGGGGCCATGCTGACTCAGCCCAAGGCTAAATTAAGAAGAGGTGGCCGGTTCATCCCCACGTCTCGTGCCGCTGCTCACGCATCACACCAGCGCTCTTCCTCGGCTCCGACGTATTCTCGCCGCCGTCTTGCCACGCCGCCCCTAGTCTCTTCGTTGCTTTCCCTCCATTTCCCTGTGGCCCCTAGCACATCTCGTATGCTCCTGCCGGCTCTGTTGCGGATTCTGGCTGCGGCGCGGCCAGACGGCGGCCATAGGGACTAACAATTGTAAGTGGAGAGTGGCGAACCGAACATGCACAACGCACCTGTACTTTGCATTTTGGCTGCGTTGCCTGCTATCCTGACACCTTAATCTGAAACGAAAGCTCATGGAATCGACTCTAATGCTAGACACGGGGTGATTAGGTATTTAGCTGGAGATCTAAGGCAGAAGCTTGGTGGTAGATAAGATGAGCGTCATGCCTGCAAAAGATGAGTCCAAGTGATGACTATTATCAGAGGAGATGTGGAAAACGTGATAGATATTAGAGATACTTGCTGCTGCTTGACATTTACCTATGCACGGCCGGTTCAGGCCTCGCTCCACGAACCGATTTGCAGTCATCCGCGCAGCACGATTTCACCTGCATTTGATCACACAACCAAGCTTTCTCAGCAAGCTGTATTGCGAATCTGAATATCTGATTCCATACGTTCTTCGCTCGAGGAAACGACTGTCGTTGCTACTTGTATAGCAGTAGTAATAGAACTTGCTGAATAAATCAGCAGTACAGATGGTAGGAGGAATGGTATCTGTACGACTGTACCTACAGAGGTGGCAGTTTCCCCATGAACAGGTTCGTGCACGGCCCCCATCTCTTCGCCGCCACCGTCCTGCGGCGCCGGCGCCATCTCCTCGCCGACCACTGCCGGCGCATCGCTGTCGTCGTCCACCAACATAGGAGTCGCCTTGCCCAGATGACCTACGAGGAGGCAACAACAATATCAAATGCGTTTCAATCTCAGACACAGTCCGGAACAGCCTCCAATCGAGACGCAGAGAATGCACGCCCGCCATGGCAGACCTCTGAGAGGCGTACTGCTTGTACGTGTAGGGGCGGCGGGTGGGGGCGGGGGTCATCATGTTGAGCTCCTCCTTCGTACGGCTTAGCCCAAGCATCTCCATCCGAACCTGCGTGCCACATAAGATTTGCCGAGGATCAGCGCGCTATCGAATCCTTCGTCACGATGAATGAAGATCCAATCATGGGGGAGACGTGTGCGCCTACCTTGTTCTCCGAGATGTGGGCGTCGCAGATGCTCTCGTAATCGGATTCGTAGCTGCGCTTTCCCATGACGGCAGTGGCAGCGGCGGCGTGCACCGGATGGCTGGAGCCTTGTTGCTTTGGGGAGAAGAGAGATGTGCTAGGGGCAATAGGCAAATGGAGGGGAAGCAACGAAGAGACTAGGGGCGGCGCGGCAAGACGGCGGCGACAATGCGTCGGAGCCGAGGAAGAGCGCTGGTGCGATGCGTGAGCGGCGGCGCGGGGTAGGAGATGAGATGAACCGGCCAACCTCTTCTTAATTCAGCCCTGGGCTGAGTCAGCATGGGCCCAAATCCGACGTGGCCGCCAGCTGTGCAAAAACTAGCGTGCATACCAGCTATGGGTCACGTGCATGGATTTGATAGTTGAGAGAGGGTCTGTTCTGGTTTTCGAGTTCTGGAAGTGAGGAAAATTGGACTTTCGTAAAAGATAAAGAGTTTTTGATGCACGATGTTCCGACCAAGTATTAATCCCCTCACAAGACATGAGCACCCACCAATCGCTAAAAAACCAAAGCAAGTTTCGCATCAATGAATGACGGGAATGAAAAGAGGAAAAATTGACTTTTTTCCTCCTTTCTATTAGTACTATATAGCATTTCTGAAGAGGAGCTTTGCTACAGCTCCAAACGAGTCGAGCATGACATCAAGCTCGAATATTGTGGTCAAAGGCTCAAGCAGTTTCTCCATCCTGATTATTGCCACACATTCCCCTCCAAAATCTTTAGATAAATTTCGACCAAGCATAATATATTGGTATTACACTGGAACATATAGCACATTAGTGCTTAACTTATTTTTTTTGAGCCAGCAGCTTCCTTCTTTTTGATTCAGTTTTTTCAAAGAGTAAAATACGTTGGTGTTCCCTATTCCCTAAATTTGGGAGGAGGTGTTATTTAGGTCCAAACTTCTATTTTTTAATTTCTAGGTTTTAAAATTTTAAAATTGCATATTTAGGTACCTAAACTTGCTAAAGAGGTTGCATGATGTACCATGATAGTGCTATTTAGATCCCTAACTTTAAAACTGCACATCTGGTCTCCAAACTTGTTAATCAAGCCACACGAAGTTCGAATTACAGTTGTTTTATGATGAACCGTGTGTGTGGCTGCTAACTATGCACTTGGCATGTGGAGCCCACGTGTCATCCCTCTTGGCTTTTCTAGAGCCAACAACTTACTTGTTTTTTAGTCAGGTTTTTCAAAGACGGGAGGCAAAGAGATGTTTTATTTATTACAGAAGAAGAAAAGATAAGCACACCATGACACCAAGAAACACGACGCCGAACACTACTACTTTGCGCTAGGAGACCGTTACACACTGAAAATGAAAGGGCCCTTGAAAACTGTAACAGATGGAAAAAACAAAGAGTTTACACGCTGAAATAGAAAGAAACTCAAGGGACACCGCCCCCTCTTGTGCCAATAGCACAAACTAGAAAATTGGACTACAACATATTTGATATTTCTCAAGCGTTTTTAATGCCAAATGGCCAAGACTTATGTTCTTGTTCATATTTTTTCCCCGCAAGTGGCTATCTAATAAGTAGGAAAAACCCCAAGGGCCAAACACAAATTGACAACTATGAATCCCCAACCATCTTTTTTTTTAAAAATCGGCTGCTAGGAAAATACCTCAAAGGAAATGTTGCACTTAGGTTAAAAAAACCTTGGCTATTAGTATTTAAGAAAATTCTAAAGAAAACCATTAACCATCAGCCATTAAAAAGCATTAAAAGAATGCTGGAAACCTAACTGTTATGGAGTTTAAAAAAGTTTTATGTCAAAATTTATTTACCAGCCTTCTCAATCTACCTGCCCAAGGTTTGGTCTTTTTTTTTTCAACGCACACATGGGTGTCTCACTGTCAAAGAAGGTGTCGTTTATATATGTAATTGAAAGAAAGAGCCCTTAAATCTTAAAATAAATTTAGAAAAATACTACGCACCTAATAGTTGGTGATGAACAAGTTTCACCACAAGAGTTTAGTTCGCAGCTTGGGCCGATCGAATATGAGATTGATAAGTAGTACTTGTTGATCTCTAATTAACCCAGACTCGGCTCAAACTCGTCGAGTCTTGTGCGTAGGCACAAGTTCGGCTTGTTAGCCGCGTGTGCCTGACCGAGAAAGCAGCGTGTGCTTGTGCTTCGGATGGGCCATAGTAGGCTTTCATCCAAAGAAGGAAAAGAACTGAAGAAACAGCACAGAAGAGAAGGAGTATCTGCAGTGGCATAAGAATCGAGTGGTTGGTACCACGAATACAGTGAGAGACCCGGAACTACCCTACCGTGCCAAATTCAGGCACTTGTGGAGCCAGGGAGGCTGCGGCAGCCCTTCCTGCTCCAGACGCTGCCCAACGCTGCCAGCACCAGTAGGCTGGCCCGGAGGAGGCAGCTGGCGGACCCCGCAGTCGTCGGGGCTGCCGGACTCCGTCGACGACGACGAGAAGCTCGTCCTCGAGTCCACGCTGGACGACGCCTCTTTCTTGGCCGCGGCCGCCTTCTTCGTCCCGGCCGCCCCGAAACACCCTAGAGCCAGCGTCAGCTCCAGCTCGCTCTCTTGGAGAACAAGCGGAGGAGGGGCCTTGTTATTCCCCTGCTGCGACCGCGAGTCGTAGGCGTCGTCCGGCCACGACCTGCTCGAGGCGGCGTCGTTCTCCGCGGCGCGCCGCCTCTCGTCGTCCTCGAGGTTGCATCGGGTGGCGGCGGGCGGCATTGCCGTTGTTGCCTCGTTCGCCGCGCCGGCCATCAGTAGCTGCTGGACCCGGTACAGCCGGTGCAGCTCTTGAACCTGAAGAGATATATGGACGCATACATCAGCATAGCTTGTTTTAAGGGACTTGAGAAACATGATTTAGGAGGCTGATGTTGTGTTCTTGATTAATTTGGTGCTCCAACCTGCTTTATTCTTACCTGTTGCCTGAACGTCTCTTCTTGCTTCAGCATGGCCATCTTCATATGCTCCTTCTCGTACTGCTTCAGATGATACCTTGACATCTTCTCGCCGGCCAAATTAAAGAGCGTAGCTTGGTCGTAGCCACAGAAGCTGCAAAATTGAAACCATGAGATTGAGATGCGTCGAAGGACAAAACGGAAACGGCCATGAGATTGAGATCAGGCTCTACTTACGAGAAGTGGAGAAGGATAGACGACGACCTCTCACTTGGATGCTAGCTTATCGGGATCGAGGCCTCGAAGAACCTTGGGACGCTAGCTTTTCTGTGTAGGACTAGGAGGAAGGTAGGGTTAGGGGCACTTAGCTTTCTCAACACTCCACGACCTGCTATTTTAAAGGCACAGCACAGAGGGGGGGATGCAGTTTGGATTGGTCACTGCGTTTTGAAGCATCTGCGAGCTGCTAGCGGGGATCGATCGGAGGAAGGAATGATATGCCCGCCCCCACGGCCCACCACAAAATTTGCGAGCAAAGGACGACAGATCGACTAGAAAAGCAGGGAACATAGCAACCCCCACTTGCTATAAATATGTGCATCCATGTATCTATCCACAAATAGATTTATGGGGGGCACTAGCACTAGTTCTAAAAGAATCAGCAGCTAGCGGAGAGACAGGCACAGCTAAAGTGGCCAGGGCAGTTCACATGTGTGCATGCTTTGCTTGCCTGCCCGCCCGCCCGGCCTGGAATCATGCTCCTAACTTGTTGACATCACACACCTCCACTCAGGAATATATAAATGGTACGGACGCCCTTTTGATTTCCCAATCTTGTTGAACTGTCATCCCCAGATCAGTTCAGTTATATCTTCCTCTTCTGGATCTGTGGATCTTGTGGGCATCAGTGTCATCCTCTGAAAAATGACCATGATGTTCAGGCAAAAAGAACTAACTTATCATATCCCTTGGGCTTATAATTAGACTAGACATATATACGAGTTCATGAACTGGTGCTTATGTATAGGTTAGAATCTTATAGAACATATATGTATTAGAAATCTGTGTATAGATTGCTTATATATATTTGCTTTCTTTTTGTTTGTTTTCTAATTTCTGACAACTGCCACATATATACTATGTAAAATTTATATGGTTGTGATCAACTTCAGTTACATCTATGTACATAGTTTTTCCCTTTGCATGGCACCACCCTTTATCTTCATGTGTTCAGTTGTAACATTAGGTTAAAACTTAAAACTATGTCAGCTCTTATTGAAGCCTATGTCACTACTGGATTCAGGCGCTCGGAATTCGGCAAAGCCCTAAATACACTCGGCAAAGCCTTTGCCGAGAGCCGCACTCGGCAAAGGCCACTCGGGAAAAAATGGCCAGCAAAGCAGCCTTTGTCGAGAGCCATTTGTCGGGCACTCGGCAAAGCTTTTGCCGAGTGCCGAGACAGCACTCGGCAAAGAAAACGAGCCGTCACGGTGCAGGAAACGGTGACGGCGGCTTTGCCGAGTGCCAACCCGGACGGCACTCGGCAAAGTTTTTCATTTTTTTAAATTCTTTGCCGAGCGCCGCCCGGGATGGCACTCGTCAAAGTTTTTTATTTTTATTTTTTTTAAAATTCTTTGCCGAGCGCCGCCCGGGATGACACTCGGCAAAGTTTTTTATTTTTTTTAAAAAATTTCTTTGCCGAGCGCCGGACGGGTGGCTCTCGGCAAAGTTTTTTATTATTATTTTTTTTAAAATTATTTGCCGAGTGCCGGATGGGTGGCACTCGGCAAAGTTTTTTATTTTTTTAAAACAATTCTTTGCCGGCAAAGCTGGGAAATAGGTTGGCGCCTCTTTTTCCAGCTTTGCCGAGTGCAGTGACCATTGCACTCGGCAAACTGACCAAAACCAGTTTTTTATTCATTTTTTACATTCCATCACGACAAACACAAATTATCACATATATCTCACATCCATCCAAACATACATCACATATTTATCACATCCATCGCATATATCACATTCATCACAATATATCACATACATCAATCCAAACATATATCATATATATCACAGTTATCCAAATATACCACTAGTGCACGACAAGTATATCAGAAATCCATCACCAAGTCATCAATGACGGTCCGAGATAGCTCTTTGGCACAAAGCTGGCGCAAGAAATAGCTCAACTCTGCCAGCACTAGCCAGACATGCTCAGGGACATAGCCTCAAACCATCGCCAGAAGAAGCCACTCAATCCATATGTGGTAGTTATAACTCTTTATCCCGTTGACTCACAGAGTAGATAAGTTTACTCCCCTCTTCAGATTCGCTGCATACCCATCAGGGAACATTAGCGTCTGGATCCATTCAAGTACTTCCCTCCTTTGTTTGCTGGTCAAGACGAAATCGGCCTGAGGCTTTCTCCAATTCTTGCCGCCTCTAGGAGGCTGCATCTCTTGATTTGGTCTATCGCATAACGTTGCCAGGTCCACTCTAGCCTTAGGGTTGTCCTTAGACTTTTCAGTGTCCATGAGTGTTGCCCAAAGTGCCTCGGCGACATTCTTTTCAGTGTGCATTACATCAATGTTATGTGGCATAAGAAGGTCATCAAAATAGGGGAGCCTCGTCAAGCCCGACTTATGAGTCCACATATGTTGCTCACCATATCCCACAAAACCACCTTCTTGATTGGCCACGAGAGCATCTATCTGAGCATGAACCTCGGCACCAGTCATCATCCGCGGTGCAGGGTCTGACACTATGACACCTTTCGTAAAGTTCTTGATGTCTTGTCTGGATGGATGGTCAAGAGGGAGGAATTGACGATGTTTGTCGAACGACGAATACTTGCCACCCTTCTGCAACCAAATGAACCTCAGACCTTCTATGCATATTGGGCATGGGAACTTCCCGTGAACACACCAGGCGCAAAATAACCCATACGCCAGGAAGTCATGCAGGGAGTAGTGGTACCAAACGTGCATTTTGAAGCTTGTCTTTGTAGCTCGGTCGTATGTCCATACCCCTTCCTCCCAAGCACGGATCAATTCATCGATCGCAGGCTCCATGAACACTCCCATATTACTCCCCGGGTGTCTAGGAATAATCAACGACAAGAATACGTTCTGTCATTGAAAGGAGACGCCGGGGGGGGGGGAGATCGAGGGAGATAACGAACATGGGCCAACAAGTGTATGGGGCCGACATCAGTCCATAAGGATTGAACCCATCTGTTGCCAGCGCAACACGTACATTACGAGCCTCATCGGCTTTCTCACGATGTTTGTCGTCAAAGCGGGTCCATGCTTCACCATCGGATGGATGTACCATCTTGCCAACATTGTATCGTTTGCCCTTTTTGTGCCATGCCATCTGTTTCGCGGATTCCTCGGTCATGTATATCCATTGAATCCTTGGTAGGAACAGAAGGTGCCGTAGGATTTTCACGGGGATCGTAAGCTGCCTCTTCTGGCCATCACCAGAGTCTACCTCCAGGTACCTGGAGGATTTACACTTTGGACAGTACTTTGCATCCTTGTGTTCTTTCCTAAATAGGACACAGCCATTCGGACAAGCATGTATCTGCTCATACAGCATCTTAAGTGCACGAAGGAGTTTCTGTGACTCGTATAAGCTCTTTGGCAGAATGTGGCCCGCTGGAAGCAGGGTGCCAATCACGGCCAACATCTTATCGAAGCCTTCTCGACTCAGGTTTAACTCGGACTTCAACCCCATTACGCGTCCAATGGCATCCAGTTGAGAAACCGTTGTTCGATCATGAAGGGGTTTCTATGCTGAGTCCATCATGTCGTAGAATGCCTGTGCGGCTGCCTCCATCTCCTCCTTACATCCTTCAGCGAACTGTGCTTGGTGAGCGTCATCTAACATGTCTGCTACCCCGGCATCAGCATCATAAGCCTCGACGCGTGGTCTCACCACCTCCTCTCTCATACGATGGGCTTCACCATGGTGGACCCACCGGGTATAGTCCAACATAAATCCATTCTTCAAAAGATGTTTACCCATGTTGTCCTTGTTTACCCTTTTCCTATTTGCACATTTGCTGCAGGGACATAAAACTAGACTCGGGGATTTAGCTGCCTTGCCAAATACACGGTTCCAGAAAGCATTGGTCTTGTTCATCCATTCATTGGTGTAATCACTTTGACTTCTCCGGTCCGTGTATATCCACTGACGGTCATCCATCCTCTAACATATATATCACCGAGCAAAGTAACCATCAATTGCATCTACATGGTGTTCCTACTGTCTAATAGGTGAGGATAGGTCCTAATCCCACCCGCGGATGCGTAGATGAGGTTAGTCTCCATGGTCTACTCCTATCCGAGACAGAATTTCAGCAGCACCTCCCCACTATTCTCCAGATACACGTCTTGCCAGGAAGAGTGTGTATCCGGAGAACAACAGGGAGGTGATGCCGAAACTCTATCTCGGATCAGAACAGACTATGAAAACTAACCCATCTACGCATCCATGGGCTGTCCAAAAAATGTGGACAATCCAAAACAGATACGGTCGTAGAGATGCAAAGATCTGCATACCTCCAACCGTATCTCTTTCGAACGGGAGACGCCTAACTGGGTTACGCGATCTATGACCATGATACGGAAAGAGGGGTTATACCTAGGGTGGTGGTGGAGTCAGGCTAGCGGGGCCATGGCGGGTCGGTGCAGTGGCGAGGCAACGCGGTGCAGGCAGACCCGCAGCGGCGAGGAAGACGATCGAGGTCGCCGAGATACTCCGGCTCGGCTACGACGGCTCTTCTCTGCAAAAAAAAAGAACAAAATACTATCTCAGTTCAAAATTTTGGCAGAACCTCCCCTGCAAGGTGAGGTATCCAAAACCTACAAAAAACATACGGCATGATGGCCGACAACCACATATACATATGCATTCAATTCAACATATCATTGCCAAGTCACATTCATCCACCACCACCACCGCCGCCGCCGCCACTCTACTCTTCTACTACTACAACCACCACGACCACCGCCACTCTACTCTTCTACTACTACCACCACCACCACCACCACCTATTACTACTACTACCACCACAACCACCTACTGTACTACTACTACCACCA